AACTAGTTTTACCTATGAAGTTCTCTATTAATTTGAGAGAGAAAGGGATACAAGGGGAAGAAACAAAATAATTACTTAACAGTGGAAAAATTTGATCCACGCTATTATTTGACACAAACCAAATGATGAAATTAAATATAACTATTTGCATCATTTGCTCAAAATAGTACAATTACAGGTGAAATGCACAGGACTTCATATCATTGACTTGCAGGCTTGATACTGCAGTTTCTTAAAAACAAGTATTGTCATGCACCACAGAATAAATCCAAGTGGTGTTCAAATTAGTTTATCTTTCTCCAGATAGCACTGTTATGCTGTTTTTGTTGGCTCCGGGGGAAGGTGACAGAGAAGGGGAAAGGACTTCGGACCTTGATCTTAGAGTGAGGGGCTCAGGCCCCACTATGTGTGTGTTCAGAAGGAACTTCATCCATCCTCATCCATCCAACGGATGATTTCTGCTTTCTCTGCACCCAGCAGAGCTGTGACCCTCCAGTGACTCAGGGGACAAGATGCACAGGTCATGTGGCTTAGGGTCCAGCGCTCAGAACAAGATGTCCTACCCGGCCTCAAGGAAGGACCAGCTTCCCGGGACTGAAGGGAAGAGAAAGAAAAGGTGGTCACAGAGATGGGGCAGGGGCAGGGTTGGGCCCAGAGAGGGGAGCCCCGGGCCCCGCTTCTGCAACAGATGCCCCCGCAAAGAAGCAGCATTGGAGGGAGGTTTGGCAAAGTGACTGTTCAGGAGCCCTGCGCCCCACGGCCCGGATCTGTCACCCCAGGGAAGGACCGAGTGCCAAATAGGTTGTAGCTGCACAGCGAGTCTGGGCAGCTGGAGCTGAGTCAACCTGCCTAGTATTTCCACGCCGCTGGCAAATGGGCATCAGAGTGGTTCTCAAGCCCCCAGGACAGGAGGAGGGCAGGTGCAAATTAAAAACAAGAGGCTTAATTCTCCCGTTCACAAGTGAAAGAGATGCTCCTCTTTTCCTTGTTCTTTGAGTATTATTTTCTTTTTTTAAATACATTGTATGGTGGATCCTCAAAGATTACAACATCATGCTGTGGCACACGTTTGGATGCTAAAATGGTACCGTGAAGCAAATTAAATTATCTACCATCTCACGTAGTTATTTTTGGTGACAAGAATAGCTAAAATCTACTTAATAAAAATCTCAAATACTACTATTACCTTTATTACCTTTATAACTTTATTACCCATGGTCCTCTCTAGTAAAGCTCTAGACTTGTTCCCCTATGTATCTGCTACTTTGTTTTTTGGGTTTTTTTTTTTTTTTTTTGCTACTTTGTGTTCTTTGACCTTTCTCTCTCCACTCCCTCCCCACACCCACACCACAGGTAACCACCTTTTTATTCTCTATATTTGACCCTTTTTTAAGATTCCACATACAGTGGACCCTTGACTTACAGACTCAATTTGTTCCTGAGGGCTGGTTGTAACTCAGGTTGGTCAATGAAGGCTCAGGCTCCTCTACACAGCCTTCACAGTCTCTCTTCTGCACACAGGCGAATCTCAGTGTCCTTAGAGAGACCCTGGCCCGGGATTTCTCAACCAATCCCACACAGAAAAGGACGTTGTCATGTTCCTTCCAGAACTCTTTAAGGGTTAAATCTGTTCTGAGACCATCTGGAAGCACAAGTGGCTGGTGTTTGGGTCATAACTCAAGACTTTGGTCATAAATTAAAACTAAAATTCCAATTGTAATCCAAGTTGTTTGTATGTCAGGCCAGTCGTAACTCGAGGGTTCACTGTATTAGTAAGATCATGCCAAATTTTTTCTTTCTGTGCCTGGCTTTTTTCATTTATGGTAACATCCTCTAGATCCATCTATGTTGTGTCAATTGGCAGGGTCACTTTTTGAAAGACTGAGTAATGTTCCAATGTATTTATTTATATAGCATATATCATATTTTTTATCCGTTCATCCTCTGACGGACATTTAGGTTGTTTCCATATCTTGGTGATTGGCATGGGGGTGCAAATATCTTTATGAGGGGGTGATTTCCCATCCTTGGGGTACACACAACAGGGACTGCCAGTCAGTGGTAGCCGTATTTTTAATTTCTTTAGAAGATGCCACATTGTTTTCCATAATGGTTCTACTTTCCTATCAGTAGTGTTCTAGGGGTTCCTTTTTCCACACCCTCACCAACTGCTTGATTGCTTGTCTTTTGATAACAGAAACCCTAGAGTGAAGTGGTACCTCACCGTAGCTTCAATCTACATTTCCCTGCTGAGCACCCATGTTCCAGGCCTTTGCATACATCTGTTGCCTGTTTTCCTGTCCTCTTTGCATAAGCATCTGGTCCTTGTCCTGTTTGTTTTAGTTGAGTTATTTCTTTTCCTTCCATTGAGTGGTACTATAAATTATATTTTATAATTTTGGACATTAACCCCTGTCGGGTACTTGGCTTACAACTATTTTTCCCCAGTCCGTAGGTTACCTTCTCAGTGTGTGGATTGTTTCCCTTATTGAGCCAAAGCTTTTTAGTTTGATGTGGCCCATTTATCTGCTTTTGCAGCCTGGGCTTTTGGTAGATATGCAAAAAATTGTTCAGGACGATGCCAGGGAGCTTCTCCCCTGCATTCTCCTCTAGTTTTGTGGTTTCAGGTCTTACATTAGATCTTCTCTCCACTTTGAGTTGGTTTTGTGTATGGTAGAAGTTAAGGGTTTCACGTGTAAGGGTTTTCATCATTTCCCATGTGGAAATCCACTTTGCCCGGCGCCATTTACTGAAGAGACTATCCTTTCCCTATTCTGTCCACATGGTAACCTTGGCAAAAACTAGCTGACCACAGAGCTTTGGATTTATTTCTAGGCTCTCCATTCTGTTCCATTGGTCTACACTTCTGTTTGTATGCCATTGTGATGACTCTATAGTTTGGGTCATAAGTGTCCCCTAAAATATCGACGGCTTGGCTCCCAGCATGTCATCACTGGGAGAGAGTAGAACCGCGAGGCAGAGGGCCTGGGGAAGACCCTTAGGTCATGGGCAGTGCCTCCTCGAAGGGGACTATGGGACTCCACTCTTCTGCTCCCTCTGTTTTGCTTCCTCGTGGTGAAGTGAGTGATGGTACCCACCATGATGAGCCGCCTCACCACAGACTCAAAGACGTGAGGCCAGTGGACCATGGACTGGGATCTCCAAACCTATGAGTGAAAATGAACCTTCCCTCTTTATAAACTGACTATCTCAAATGTTTTAATATAGTAACAGAAAGCTGACAAACACAATTACTATAGCCTCAGAACAATGCTTTTAAGTCAGGGAGCGTTTACTCAGAAAGCTTGTCATTGTAAGACCCTTCTCCTCTCTTTGGAAGGCAGATAAACCCTTTTGGAGACTAGACAGGCCTTGGGATCAGCTTTATATTACAGGAATGCCTTTTTTCTAGGACCTAGGAGCCATTTCTTTGCAATGTAAGCATCAAGGAAGTCAGCATCCTCTCTCCCAGCTTCTGTGCAAGGGTAGCAGCCTAACTTCAGGGGAAACCTTACTCCAACTTGTAAAAGTAAGTCGTGAACAGTTTGTTTTTCCTCTGAATAAAGCCAATTAGCGAACATAGATGATTCCCCAAATGCCAGATAAACTTAGATGAACTATGGGTGACAAACAGCGGTCAAGTCCTTTTACTTGCGTATTAGTTTTGTGTCTTGGAAACATGTAGAACAGATTGTGTCCATGCAAAGAGGTCAGACTTCCTTCTGTCTTTGTCATTTCTTAGCAGATTGCCTGTGGTAATGATTATTCAATAATTAAATGGTTTTCTTTATCACCTCGGAAGAGGAGATTTCTGGGTTGGGAAAAGGATTATCATTTCTAATGCTATTTCTCCCAAAATGGGAATGGGAAAGGTAGAAAGAATAAAAACTGTCTAAAATAAACAGACTCGAATCCAAATATTTCACCCACACCTTGCAGCAAGCGGAACAGACCAGACGGAACAGGAATGTGGATGGGGAGAGGCCAGCAGCTGAAGCAATGGGTTACAGAGCGGAGCAGCCCCAGCTCTGGTCCCCTTATCTGTAGGGGGATTGTGAAGATTGGATGGAATAACGGATGCAAAGGGCTTTTTTTAAGTTGTAAAAGCCACAGCACTGTCTTACCTGCATGGCTACTAACCCAGGAGAAATCTTATCACAGTGAATACATCCGCTCAGAGAGCGAATAATCCTGTTCTACTTTGTTCTAACACCGGACATGCACCTGGCAGCTCCCCTGCTCTATCAGCACTGCTGACAGCCTAGGTGTCGCCTGGAACATTTCTTCAGGAATTCACCCCAATCCATCAGACTCAGCAGCTGTCTGCTCTGACTTTCACGGTGCCCCCTTGGGAGAAATACTACCAGTCCAGCCTGTGGCTAACTGACAATTATCCACCTAATCTGGCAGTTGCTTTTCGCAGTAACTGTCAGAATATCTAAGATTTACAACATATTCTAACAACCCACCAAACAGTATTTCTATTTAAAGTACCCAAATGGTGGCAGAGATGGTAGTGCATGCCTGTAATCCCAGCCCTTGGGAGGCTGAGTCAGGAGGATCCCCATGGGTTCACGACCAGCCTGGGCTACATAGCTTGAGATTCTGTCTCAGAAAACGAAAAGGTCCCCAGGTGGTGAGAAAAACCATAAAAGAACATTTTACCTGTGCAGTACCTTGGGGAACCTAAATAGAATATTCTTAATGTTATGACCCGTTTCCTTTCCACAGAATAGATGAACCCCTCCTCCCTGCCACGGAGCAGAGGTCAGCAAGGAGCTGCAGGGAGTAGAGAGGGTGTTAAAGAGGAGAACTGAGCAGGGACACACCGGATGTTTTTGTCTTCTTTTCTTTCCTGGAGATTTTGACCTTTCTTCTAGTCCACTGACAGTAGGAGTGAAGGGCTGGGCTTGTATTTGCATAATTGACTAGAAAACCGGGAGTTTGCCCAGCCTCTGAAAAAGGCACCCTGCATCTTTAAGGCCATGGGCTCAGCAGACGTGGGCAGGGCCGGCTCTGCCGCAGCCAGAGCCACAGCAGCAGGCGGCGGCAGCTCAGCCCACCCATGAGGTTCAGTTAGCCAAGGTGGAGGATGGGGAGAGAATGGAGGTGTCCCAGCTCCTCAATGAGGTCAGGGAAAACTATGCAAAGCTCCTCAGCAGCAATCAGATAGAGACCGGGCTCTCAACGAGGATCCAGGTAATGATTTCCTAGAGACAGGCACCTCCCGGGATAAGGAGACAGTCCATGTCTGCCCAATTCCTGCCCCGGCCTCCCCCGAGGTACAGTATTTCCTTTTCCATGCGGACATACTGGGGAAGGAGCGGAGTCTGAGCTTCGAGGGGGCTGGGACACCGGGAAATGCTGCGGTAGCTCTGAGACCTTGGTGGATGCATTGTATTTTTATAGAGATGCTCGGGTTGGAACCATGAATAAACTATGGGGTCCGTAGACAACAAAATGGTGCACTCCAGCCCCATGTAGACATCTTTGGGGAGCAGGCATCTCAGATACCCTTCAAAGACGCGTGAAGTTACTTATATGAATAATTCAAGTCACATCTTTTTAATGCAAGCCTGAGAGTAAGATTTCTTGCTGTGCACACTTTCTGAAGAGAAAACGAATATTTCTAAGAGGTTCCTGCTATCTTTTTAATGAGTTCAGTTTTATACTCGATTGTTATAAATAGCAGTCATCTGAGTATGGAACGAGGCCTTCGGAACTAATAATGTAAGTTGTGACAATCAAATTCCCCAAATTGGTAATGATTCTCCAAATAGGTCTTTTGCTTTTGCACTGTAAGATGAGAAATGTTTATGCCCAATACAACCTTTTAATATGTATTTAAAAAGAGAGAGAGAACCAACTTCAAGGTGAGATTTCATATACTTAGTTTAAAGTGACAATCACAGCAATTCATTCAGGTCTGAGGTCTTTAAGCAAATTTTAAAACAAATATTTTAGAAGCAAAGATTCAGAAATTGAGGGGCTTTGTGTTTTTCGGTCTGGGATTTGGTTTGGTTTTATGTTGTTTTTAGTGTATCTAGCATATCTGAGCTCAATTTCTATTCCAGGCACCCAAACTCAGCAAAAAAAAAAAAAAGAAAGTTTACTTAAAAATATCACCAAAAAGAAATCAAAATACTGCTAGGAAATCACAGGCTTTTATTCTATTAGTAACTCATGTTAGTGACATTATAAATTCTACCCCTGGGTAACATATTCAGGTTTCATAAAAAATGATTAGAACTTTAGATTTAAGCAAAGTCATGGGACTTTTGATTTAAGCACTGGAATCGTTCACTTATCTTTTATAAGGAGAAGGGGAAAACATTAATAGATGACAACTCCTGAAAATTATAAACCAAGTAAACTATTTAGCAATAGTAGAAATTCAAGTGTTGCTTACAAAATTCAGGGCTGAAATAAGCAAATTCAAATTTTAAAAATAAGACTACAGTATAATTTTGAGTTAGGACATTTTTAAACATAAAACTACTTTAGAGAACCTTTTCCACAAATAACTTAGAAAGTCACTGGAGATGGATTCAAGAAACCCTGATGATTTAATTATCAGGAAAGAGCTTCCGGCCTCAGTCTCCCTCCTCAGCACCCACCCCTAAATCACAAAATAAATCGGATGCGCTGTTGTAGTTACTGACTGCTGGATGACAGTAGCCACCCTGAAGCTCAGGGGGCTACATGTCGGTCACATTGTGTCGTGTGACTCTGGGGGTGACCAGGCCCTGCACATGATGCTGGCTGCTGTTTGGGGCATAACCGGAACCATGCAAAAGGAACCACAAAAGGACAAGAACCTGGGGACCTGTGGGTCACCAGGGGCCATCCTGGGAATCTGGCTACGACAGACACAAGCCCAGCTGCTGCCCCACATTCCAAATCCAGAGTCCAGGAGACACCAGCCTGTGTGTGTTCTCTGATTCCAAAACCCTACACATTGTCTGCGTAGTTTGCCGAGTGACTCTGCTGAGTGAACACCGAGAACAAGGCCCAGCAAGCCGAAAACGGAACAGTTTTGTTCTCTTGTCCTAAACTTCACTGATAGACTTGTACTGGCTCCAGGTTCCTTTCAACAAAATGTTTTGTACGATCAAGCTGTTTTTTAATTTTAAAACATATTTGATAAGAACATAAAAAGTTGTCATTTTTGCTGCAAAATGTTACTATCAATTCAATACACTATTCCTACAGTTCTTGGAGCCAAATGTTGAGAATTCTGGCAATAGATATCTTCTTTTAATTCCAACATCAGCATAAAAGCATATAAAGTCAAATATAAAAATCTCACTTGTTTTTAATGTAAGGACATTTAGAAACAATCTTTAAGATACTGTTTTTGTTACAACCCCAGATACCCAAAATTAAGATGCCTTCTGAGCCGAGCATTGTGGTGCACACCTGTAATTCCAGTACTCGGGAAGGCTGAGGCAGGAGGATTAAATTCAAGGCCAGCCTGGACAACTTAATTACTGAACAAGATACTGTCTGAAAAAATTTTAGAAGGGCTAGGGATGTAGCTCAGTACAAAGGCCCAGGGTTGAATCTGAGGAATCATCAAAAAAAAAAAAAATCCTAAAAAGATTTTGCTGGGTGGAGTGGCGCACACCTGTAACCCCAGCACTTGGGAGGCTGAGGCAGGAGGATCACCCAGAGTTCAAAGCCGCCTGGGCTACATAGTGAGTTCAAGGCCAGGCTGAACTACAAAGCGAGATGCCGACTCAAAAAAAAAAATTATATGTGTACCATTCACATCAGAGGGAACTGTGGCTGAGACTCCAGCTGAGAGCCCACATGTCTAACTCCAGGCGCAGAAAGCTCTGGAGCTCGCATCTGCAGCCTAACGGTTCAGAGATGACTGATTCCACCACAGCTTTTCTGAGGCCGCTGTGAAACGCATCGTTTTCAGGAGCGCTCTCTGTTTCCTTTGCTGTCCTTGGCTTTCTCGCAGCTGGAAGAAGACATAAGCAAAAAGATGGACAGAGACAAGGAGGCTCTGAAGGCGGCACGAGCGGAGCTCAAGGAGGCCCAGCGCCAGTGGCATCACCTGCAAGTGGAGATCGAGTCGCTGCACGCTGTGGTGAGAGGACGGGGTCTCCCGGCCACGCCTGTCATCCTGGCACTCAGGAGGCTGAGGCAGGAGGACCACCGCGAGTTCGAGGCCTTGGCTAAGTCTGCGCGAACCCCATCTGGTGTCGCTAGTTCCCTGAGGCCGCTCTCTGTCCGCAGGAAAGGGGCCTCGAGAGCTCCCTGCAGGCCAGCGAGCAGCAGCACCAGATGCAGCTGCAGGACCTGGAGGCGGTGATCGAGGGGCTGGAGACGGAGCTGCAGGACGTCCGGCGCGGCATCGAGCGGCAGCTACAAGAGCACGAGTTGCTTCTCAACACGAAGATGAGGCTGGAGCAGGAGATCGCCACGTACCGCCGCCTGCTGGAGAGGGAAGAAATCAGGTACCGACCGTGGCTGGCGGTGTGGGCGGGGAAATCAGCCGCCGCCGCGAGCCCCATCCGCGCGTGCGCCGAGCTCCGCCCATAAAGTAGGGCCGGCCTCCGGCCTCCTAGCCGGCGACCTGGTAGTTGCCAGCCGTGGTGCCGCCTGCCCGTCATCCTAGCACCCGGGAGGCTGAGGCAGGAGGATCACTGTGAGTTCGAGGCCAGCCTGGGCTAGATAGTAACTTCAAGGCCAGCCTGAACTACACAGCGAGACCCTGTCTCAAAAATACAAAAAGAGGGCTGGGGATTTAGCTCAGTGGTTCCGCCGCCTGCCTGGCAAGCGCAAGGTCCCGAGTTTGATCCCCGGTGCCAAAAAAAAAACAACTTAACCTTATTATGTCTTCTTTTCTTAGTCTTTGACATACAAATAAAACTATTTTCTTTGAAAAAAAAATACAAAAATAAAGCTGTCCCAGAGTTGGCCAGATCAAAATGTAAGCAATTCTTCATCACTTCAAAAATGACTTATTTTTTAAGTACTGGGGATTGAACCCGGAGCCTTCTTGCTGAGCTACATCTCCATTTATTCATTTGTTCATTCACTCATTTAGAGATATTTTATTTACTAACAGAAACCTCACTAACTCGCTAAAGTCCCCAGACTCGGCTTGAATTTGTCATCTTCCTGGCTCAGCTTCCCACAGTGCAAGAATTACAGGCATGTGCCACCAGGCCCAGCTCAAAAATGACCTTCCTTTAGATTCTCACTTTGGCTTTTTTTTCCTGTTGTTTTTATTTTATTTTATTTTTTGAGACAGGGTCTCACTGTGTCTTACAGGCTGACTTTGAATTCACTATGTAGCCCAGGCTGGCCTCCAACTCGCAGTGATCCTCCTGCCTCAGCCTCCCAAATGCTGGGATTTAGATTCTCACTTTCACTAGTTTGGAAGTCCACAAAAACAGTTTGGAAGACTCATGTATTATCACCAGAGCTCCACCCTAAAGGCCCACCCACCATATATTAAATATGAAAATAGTAGTAGTAGTGATAATAATCATAGTAATAATAATAATGTGATTAAGCTACAACCAAGGAAAAGAATACAGTTCTGAGTTGATTTAGAAGACTCAAGCTGAGTGTGGTGGCTCTTGCTTGTAATCCCCTCACTCAGGAAGCTGAGGCAGGAGGATCGCTGCAAGTTTGAGGCCAACTTTGGTTACACACTGAGTTCAAGGCCAGCCTAGACTGTATAGGGAGACCCTGTCTCCAAAAAAGAAAACACAGAAGATTCCCAGATGTTCCGTTAGGAAAAGGTATTACAACAGGAAATCTCAATTGCTCATATAACATCAAAATTGGCAATCACTTCTGAAGTTATATAACTTTGAACATAGCACAAAGAAGCTTTTATTCTTGCTTATTTCAGAATTCCAAATCCTCTATGAAAGAAACAACTTTAGCCTATAAGTCTTGACACGTATTAAATCTTTTAAAAGCACAAACTGAATTCAAAATATACCACTAGCTGAGTGACCTTGGACAAGTTACTTAGCTTTTTCTGTCCTTTGGTTTCCAAATACGTAAAATGGGAATCACAATAAGATTACATATTACCTACCTCACAGAAGTACTGTGAGGATTAAAGGAGTGAATATTTATAAAGTGCTTAAAATAGTAGCTGGCACACTGTAAGTGCTCTGTAGATGCAGGTATACATAGATAGTTATAGTTTCATATATAGTTACGCATGGCTATATGGATGTGACTATATATTGTTAAATAAAATAAATGGTTGTGTTGTGGCCAGGCATGGTGGCACACGCCTGTAATCCCAGCACTCGTGAGGCTGAGGCAGGAGGATGCCCACAAGTTCGAGGCCAGCCTGGGCTACATAGTGAGTTCAAGGCCAGACTGAACTACATAGCGAGACCCTGTCTCAAAAAAAAGGTTGTGAATCTTACCTAATTCCTAATCATTCAAGATGTTGACAAATTGGCCTTTAATATTTCTATAATAAAATTTATATTTTTAATTATGCTACTCTTAAGATATACCAAAAAAGAAAAAGAGAAAAACATAACAAACCCCCATGTATCCACTTCTGGTGTTCTCCGTGTTGAAGTTTCCCTGGGCACCAAAGCTACGTCTCCCAATTGCAGCCTCCCCCTCTACCTACCCTGGCTCCTGAATCTGATGCTTATTATTCAGATCCATTCCGTCAGAGTAGGTATCATAGTACATGTATGCTTTACTAACAAAGTACAAAACTGTTCTGCACGTTATTTTAACCTTTATAAAGTTAGCTGCAACTTTCTTTCAGGCACATGATGCTGACAGACTTACCCACAAAGATACAGTATCACTGGGATACAGTTCATTTATTGTCACTGCTAACTACTGTGTCTGCTGTATGAATATTCTAATTCAGTGACGGCAAACCTTTTAGAGCTTTCAGTGGTAACAAACAGGACACGTGCCACAGGTTCGCCACCACTGTTAATTGTTTCAACTACTTGCTATTACAGTGTTGCTCCTGAAATGTAATTCTTTCCATTTGCAGGTATTACGGCTGTATCCAGGGCGGGAAAAAAGAGCCCAAACCTACCACAAGTAGAGTCGGTTTTGTTTTACCTTCGGGTGAGTTGCTGTTAGGCACTGATTTGAAAAGTGACAGGTCATATCATGTAATGAAATTAAATTCTTCAAAGTAGCAAAAGCGAGTAAGGTCTGCATAAAATCTGACACGTCAGGTAATCGCGAACATACTTGCACATTGTAATTTGTCATAAATAACATTTTCACAGCCATCATAAATGAAATATCTTTTTCAACAAAACTCTCACGAAAGTATGAGGATGAAAAAGTGGAGACGGTGACCAAAGAGGCAATATTAAACAGAAACACCGTGAAGGAGAGCACCGAGGCTCACAGCACCATTCAGTAAGTAAAATAACCTTGACTGAGAAACAGCAATAGGCCAGGCATGGAGGTGCTTGCTTGCAATCCCAGCACTCCAGAGGCTGAGGCAGGAAGATCACTGAGAGTTAAAGACCAGCCTGGGCTACATAGCAAGACTCGGTCTCAAAAACAAACAGAGAGAGAGAGAGAGGAACCAAAACAATATAGGTAAAGAAATGAATTTCAATCAAATAACCCCACTAATGAGTCTTCTTTGTTTCTAAACATAGTTTTACTCTACTGTGATTTCTAAACTGAGCTGAATATCTATAGGATGAAAAATACACAAGCAAAAACAAAACTTTAATTTTAAAAAGAAGAAAAATACATAAGCAACCAATTTACTGGATTTTGTTTTCTAAAAATAAAACCAGAACATGCGAATTCTGTATACATTTGATGGAATTCCTGGAAATTATATGCCTATGATTTTTAAAGTCTTGCAGGTCAATTATACAAACTACAAATCATGTAATTATTTGATTTTTCACAGAGCTAGAATAAATTATATATAATTACTAATATATAGAAATGCATATTATCATATATTGTATATAATATACCCATACTTCTTCCTATAGGAAGTTTCACTTTTTCATTTCAGGACAGAGAAAGTGGATGAAGTTATTAAAGAATGGGAAGGCTCCTTCTTTAAAGACAACCCTCGATTAAGGAAAAAGTCTGTTTCTCTCCGATTTGACCTCCACCTCGCAGCCACTGACGAGGGCTGTTTACAGACTAAGCAGGACAACCTGCCGGATATAGAGGTCAGGCTGATTATGAGGCGGTCCTGCAGCATTCCATCTATCAAACCTCCCTCGGCAGCCAATTAGCCCCGAGATAGGATTTGACTTGATTTGAAAATTCCATGAGGACGGGACAGGTGGATGATGCTGACCCCTTTCTGTCTAAAATGTAAGTTATTAGGTACATAGAGAAAATGTTATGATCAATGTGTGATTGTGATTCCCTTCACAAAAAAAAAAAGGACAGTTAAGGCATAAAGTTTCTCTGAACTCAATTATGGGCATATTTTCAGGTGAGGGAAAGTTTAAAAATAAAATCAGAAATTCAGTACGGTTTCTATTCTATTTATTCTCCAAATAGTCTTCTTTTTCTCTGGAAATTTTATCAGAGACTGTACTGTACAAGCTGGCTTGGTTAAGTCTGTAATTTCACTCAGTGGCTGAACACTGAGGCAGTGGTGGCAAACCTATGGCACACGTGCAGCACCGAGCTATTTGTTACCACTGAAAACTCCAAAAGATTCGCCACCAGTGTTCTAAGAAAAAGGAGAAGTCACTTTGAAGATGATTACAAACTGTGAAGAGCCATCATTATTTCTCAACTGGCTAAACCTCAAAAGGTTGTTTTACTTTAAAAAGGCAGCAGTGATAAAATTTTAAGGGAGCGTTCACTATTCACTTTGAGTTTTTCCTTTTGAGATAATCATTTGGACACTTAGAAAAATAAGAAGAGTTCTCTTCATGAGCAAACTATAGAATACACTCCAAGGTTATTCTGATGATAAATAAAATTGTTACTCTATACCTGAAAGGTTTTTGTAAGCAATATCTGATTTCTAGAAGAGCCACTTTATTGAAAGAACTTTTTAAAAATCAGAAGCCCAGTTATAAAATTAACACACAAAAAACAAACTGAAAAGGTGGTTTCTATGGTTACTAGAACAGCCACTTAACCTCTCACTGTCCTGACTTTTACATCTGGGAAGTTAAATGTGATCGAGCCTTAGGTAAGATAGTATATAAATATTTCTTGCAATCGTTTATGTGAACTAAGATAATACTATTGTTATCTAAGCTAAGAGTGTTTGCAGGATTTGTTTTTAAATTGTTCAAACTAATAAATACAGATAAAAACATATTGTGGATAAGTGAAGTATTGTTGCAAAGTTTTCTAAAGAAGTTAATTTGTTTACTACAGGTATGTTTAAGACCTTAAATAATAAATACCTGTTTTAAAACATTAGAAATTTATAGGCTATTTTTTTCTAAGCAGAAAAAAATGGAAAAGTACAATTCATACCTTTTTTCCCAACTAAAGAATTACCTAAGGGCTACAGCTATGTTAGAATTTTAGTACACCGCGCATATATATACATATATATATATATGCATGCTATGTGTAATATATATGCTGAATATATATGCTGTGTGTATATGTGTGTGTGTATATATATATATGCTGTACGTATATTTATATACAACAGTAAAATGTTTGTTTTCATCAGAAGAAAATTATGTTCATCTTTAACATAATACAAAATAGAACATTTTACATTTTCCTTCAGTTACTTCTGCTTCCTTTCAGCCTGGCTTATTCTGTCCAGTGAAAGGGGATGATTTTGTTTTGTCAAGGACACGACAGCATGTTAAGTACTTATTCTTGTGTAATCATCTAACCTAAAATGTACCCTTTGGGCTGGGGTGGAACTCAGTGGTGGAGTGCTTGCCTAGCAAGCACAAGGCCCTGGGTACGATTCGCAATACCAAAAAAAAAGTTTCATTCACTATTTGTTAAATACTACACATTTCATCAAAGCTTTAAAAGTGCAATCATATCCGCTATTGTGTTAAAGTTACTACACCAAGCAACCGTGATCATATAATAAAGCAATATAACTAATGTAATCTATTGCAGTGTTCAGACCCTAGCGCTAGGCATTACAAATGTAACCACCTGTTACAGTACTTCCACTATGCAGCTGTTGCGTGTATAACATGTACATTTTAAAATACAGTACTTGATTTTATAAAAAAAAAAGTTTTATTTGCTTTGAGCTATTTTAAAATCGGGATATGAATTTACCAAAGTAAATGATACCACCACAATAAAAAAAAAAAATTGAAACGCAAACTCCGAGCTGCCTTGTATTTGAGTTTGATACATAGCTGTCTCTCAAAGAGATTGCTATCTGCATGGTTAAACAGATAAAAAGAAGCTGGTTCACTTGGGAAATGAAGAAAACTGCAATCATAGTACATACATGATGCCTTTAAGCTTTTTTTTTTAACAAAAAATAAATTAAGATATGTACAATAAGTCCCCGACTTACGAGCAAGTTCGTTAGCAGAGAATGTTCCTCAGTCGGATTCGTTCATGAGCTGAGTTCGCAATTTGCATGTTCATAATTCAGGGACTTACTGTACTGAGGTTTTTTCACTCTAACCAAAAAAATCAAAATCATATTTTCCCACAATTCTGGGAAAAGTGTAACAGCACCCAGCATTTTAAAGTGCTTTCTCCACTCAAAGCACAGTGTTCAACAGATTGATTGCTAATCCCTACACCTCACAACAATCCTATAAAATAAACAATACTATCCTTCTTTTATAGATGGATCCAATTAATGTTCTCTGGTCTCACTGGGGCACTTCACATGCATGCTTCCCCAACGAAATCCACAAAGGGCGATTCCAATGACTAACAACTGTAAGATCCCTAATTAGCCACTGCACAAGAGGAGGAATCATTCTAACGTCGAAGGCCTCAATTTTCAAGTGCTTTGGCAGAGTGTGGTGACACATGCCTGTCATCCCAGCACTGGGGAGGCTGAGGCGGGAGGATCACCATGAGTTCAAGGCCAGCCTGGGCTACATAGCGAGACCCTGTCTCAAAAGAACAAAAAAGAAAACAAAGGAAAAGGTGACTCTTGGTAATAATTCCTTCCCTTCTTACCACACAGTTGTTTGAAGTAACAAAAATGTGAGAATATTCAGTGAAGCAGTGCTCAGATATACAGTAGCATTTGGATGAAAAATTGTCTCCAAGGTTGAAGGTTTTCTGAGGAAAATTATCGCTGGCACTGATGAAGTAATAGTTCAAAACACAACAGGAAGAAAATAATATTTAAAATTTTTCAACTGCTGCCTCTTCAAAAAAATTCTTTCCCGTGAGCTACTCAATTTGTACTGTTCTGGTATCATAGATTTTTAAAGTATAAAAGTGTTACCTGAAGATAATAAATGATTATTTTAAGCCAATACATTTTAGGATGATGGAACCATTTTTTATTGATTTTTTATAGTTCTTTATATTATTAAAGTTCACAGTTTGCCTTTCATTTTTGCTTTCTTGTTTGTTTGTTTGTTTGTTGAGACAGAGCTTTGCTATGTGTTCAGGCTGGCTTTGAATTCACCACAATCCTCCTGCCTCAGCCTCCTGAGTGCTGGGATTACAGGCCTGCACCACCACGCCCAGTTTGTTTATTTTCTTAACATAGGTTTAAAAAAAAGACAAAAAGACAAAGTATGTTTTAAATTAGTTTGAAAGTTACAAATGAAAACTTATGGCCTATGGGCCAAAATTAAACTTTAAATAATATGCATGTACATAGTTCTCAGATTATGAACACCTCAACTCATAGAAGAGTTTGTCAAGGGGCAGAATTTGGCTCTGTGTTTACAAGTACGGCCAGCATGGACACACAGGTTGCCAACAAAGGAATCTAAAATCAGGAATCTATAAAAGTCACTACAAGCCTTTCCAACCTGCCCTCGAACGCTCTAGACCAGGATAGGCAAGCTTTTTCCACAGAAGCCCACAAGCAAGTATTTTAGGCCTCTCAAGTCATAGGATCCCGGTAGCAACTCGACAACTCTGCCCTCAGAGTTACAAGCATCTATAGACAATATTATTGATGGGTGCGGCTGTACCCAAATAAATCGCATGAACAAAAACAGAAGGAGGCGCTGATTTGGCCTGCAGCATTGTATTAACCATGGCTAGGACTGCAGCTCAGTGATTGAATTGCTTGTTGGGCTAGCATAGGTGAGGCCCTGGTTCCATCAACATGCTTAAAAAACAAGAAAAGTCTGGAAACCCTAATTTCTAGAGCCTCAAAATTATCAGCAGGTAATGGACTGATAACCAGAATCTCCAGGGCTATCCTGTTTTCAAACATTTTCACCCTTGTTCACACCACCTGCCAAACTCACGTCCAGAAATCTTGTCATTTTGAAGACAACACACAGGTTATAGAAGCACAACATACTTTGTCAATAGCTATAAAACGTCATGAATTACTCTGCCCTGAAAATCTACTAGGCTCCAATATTTCACAACTATTTATACCATAGAAACAGAATATTCATTGTAGTTCTGTCTGCTTTCATAGAAACAGCTGAGAAAAAAACTCTCCTGTTTCTGCATTTTGCATATAACTAGGCTCTATAGGCTGCTTGCCTCAGGTAGAGCTCTATCCTCCCTTTCTCTTAGTTTGCAGGGGCAAAAACTAAAGAAAAAGATGCATCATAACATACTACTAGCAAACTCCACGGCTACTAAGCCACTTGGTTGGTTCAACACCCTCAATGAGTCACAGGTCTCTTTGAAAACTTGATAAAGCTACTATCTAGAAAAAGCACATAAAAACCACGTATAATTTTACAGCATTCATAAACCTCCTAGAGCAGTGGTGGCGAACCTATGGCATGTGTGCCACAGCAGGTACGCAAAGCCCTCTGTGTCAGCCCACAAGCCAAGTCACCTCGGCAGCTGGGCATCGGAGAACAGGTTTTTTGCTGTTTTTTTTTTCTAAGCTAAAACCTCACTATTCAGGTTTAATTGCAGTGCTGGCACTCTGGGATAAATAAGTGGGTTTGGGGTTGTAGTTTGGGCCATCACTGCCCTAGAACCTACTCATAGGCCACCAGGTGTCCAAGGATTGCAGGTTTTTCCTTGTTCTCTGATACTTTCTCCTTTTCCTTCTCCGTTCCCAGTCACAGCCCTTTTTGGCCCTAATTCTGCCTCCCTCACCAGTTTCTTCCCACAGTACTGTGGACAGAACTCAGAACAAACTGTGGACAGAGCCTGGGCTGGAATCCCAGATTAATCACATTAGTTTAGGCTTCCCTGTCTTGGAGAAAGAACCCCAAGAAAAGGTGGATACTGTGGTGTCAGAGAGGAAGAGACACCACGTGCTTGGATCTTGGTACCAAAAAGAAAACTAAAATTCCAGGGCAGAAAACTATCTCTGAAGTTCACCACCAGGTCTATGTGAGTGAGGGTTCCCAATAACTTTTATAGGTGCCTATGAATGCTGCACCCTACATTTTCCAGGAATAATCACAATTCCAAACATCTGTCTTGCATTCCCATAAATATCCTGTACATGTAAGATCTCACGTCCTGCTGTTTGCTTTGGGGGAAATAAACTGCAAGCAGAGTGGGTATTTCCATGTTAGGTATTTTACTCTTCAATTTTAGTATCTTCAGGACTAGGGAAGAGATTTTTTTCTATTATCTTTTGCCTATATTCTTTCTTTCTAAATTTTTCACATCTTAAAGAGTAGCGGAAGAACCAAAGGAGGAAAATGAGACATTCATTCCCCTATTTCACAAATGACAAGCACCTCAATGTACCATGCACCGTTCAAGATATCAAAAGTCTCCACCTTCAAAGAGCTTTCATTTTGACAGGAAGCAAAAGACAACAAACAAAATAAATGCATGCACACCACGGTACGTCAGGCGGTGAGTGCTGCAGACCCAATAAAGCTCCAGTCACGAACAGACAGTGGGGGCGGGGGGATGAGTTGATTTTAAGTAAGTCTGAAAGACTGGTGACCAAAGGGACCTCTGATAAAAGCCAAGTGCGAGGCTTGGTGCTAGAGCACACTCTCGGCCTGCCTGGGGCCCTGGGTTCAATCCCCAGCGCGCGCGCGCGCGCGCGCACACACACACACACACACACACTCAAAGGGAAAGAGGAAGTATGTCAGGCAACGCAACGCCATGGCTCCAATTAGATCCCCCCTTTCCCTTTTCAGTTTCTGTGCTTCCCCCTTCCCAGCAGCGGGCTTCCTTCCGGTCATCCAGCACCTGCCCAGAACTGGCAGCCAGGCCTCCCTCACCCCTCTGGCCCTGAAGCCCCACAACCCCAAGGGCAGGAAGAAGCCAGGCCGCACTTGCTGCAGAGCCAGAGGAAGAAGCCATGAATCCCTGCTCAGGCTCCACATAGGCTACATTCCCCCTTCCGGTTATTTTAAACAAACCAATTTCGCATTCGTTTTCTCAAACCCCACTAGGGCTGCCTGTTACGGTCTGACCACCTCTCCTTTAGTCCTTCCCTTCAACACGCCCTTCCGTTTCATTCCTCCCTGTTCATGAGTGTAAACAGTGGAGGTGGAAGCCCCGAAGAGAGAGGCGCCCTCCGTGTCCCTGGCCTCGCAAGGCTTTGAGATGCCCCAGTTCCGCTTGGCACAACCAAGATGGGGCTAAGGCGACGGAAGGACTCGGCCAGTCTCCCTGAGCGTCCACACTGCCCAGAGGCCAGGTCGCCGTGTGCACGGCGGCCTGCAGCAGCCACGAGTTCATCTGCTCTGTGTGGTGAACCAAAGTGCTCACGATGCAGAGCGCCTGGGACCCACAGGATGCGCATGTCACCCTGGTCAGGCCTTAGCAGGCACCGGCCCGGCTTTCCAGACCTTCGGGATGCACGGGGGTGACAGACCGAGGCCGGTTATCAACGAGCAGCCACGCAGTGCACAGCAAGTACAAGGGTCGGGAGGAAAGTTCTGGCAGGGCCTCACGCGGCCGCCTGAGCTGGATCGCAAGGGCAGAAGCGTCTACACCGCCAGCGCAGTGGCCCGAAGCCCGCAGCGACCGCACCCGAGGCCCTGGGAAGCGGCGCCCAGGCCGGAAACGCCCCGAGGACCGCGGGCCGCGGGCCGTGCAGACACCGCCCCCGAGGACAGCGAGCGACCCCGGCCGCCTCCGCCCTCCTCGCCGTGGCGAATCGGCGCCGCCGGGGAAAAGCACCTGGAGCCGGGGCCTCCGGAGGGAGCTGCGCGGCCTGAGGAGAAAAGGAAAAATTCCCTGCCGACGCGAAGCCGCGGGCGTCCGCCGGCGGGGTCGCGGCGCGGCCTCCCGAGCGGCCTGGCGGGGTGGGGCCGCGCCGCGTGTGGAAAGTGCGGGCGCGGACGCGGCGCGAGGGGCGGGGCGAGCGCGGGACAAAGGAGGCGGATTCGGAGCTGCGGCGCCCGCTCGGCCCGCGGGTGAGTGTTTCCAGGGCCCGGCCCGGCCGGGAGGGCGACGAGCCGGGGCGGCCCCCGCCGGGCGGGACCCCCAG